TAAGCGGTGGCTTTTCAAACACTTGGGTGAAATGCTCCTGGTTCAATTGCGTAAAACAACACCACCCTTCCCACAGATGTAAAAGGGCGCCAACGCTGCGCTTCCACTTCTCTGCTTTCAGTCGTCCCCATTTCAGGTCCTTATCAAGTCGTCCAAGGTGTTCAAACACCTTGCGTGAGCGGAGAGCGTTTTCAAACAGCTGGCGGTATCGCCATGCATGGCGGACGCCACTAGTTGCCGACGACGAGAGAATATCAGAGATGATATAGAGACCGACCAGCTTCGCAGAGGACATATCCAATTGTTCATCGGATGGAGTTGCATTGTCCTTATCTGTGGTCGCTAGTCTAGCGGCACTTTTTTCCATTTCCCTATTTGGGTTGGCGCCGGTGTAAGCTAGTGGGCGGAAAACGTTTCGAATAGCCATGTCGACAACCTCGGGCGCACCCACTGCCGCGTGGTCGATGGCGAATGCCGTGACTCGCGCAACATCTCCTCGTCGGAGCTTTGAATGGGTCGTCGGAAGTCGTGCAAGAAGATGAGTAAGCTTGGCCATCTTCAATGGGTTCAAGAAGTTAGGTTCATCGCTGCGTGTGTTGCTTCCGTCCTGAGGTGCTCCACCAAGGTTCCGCCTTTCATTTTCTCCATCCGAGTGTTCTTCGTCAGAGGAGTCGTAGTCAGGGTGTGACACAAATTGGTCCAGTCGAGTGACGTTCTCAAATTTGAGATGCTGTTTTGGGGGTAACCAGAGCGGACCACCTTCGAAGATCATTGCCGGCTTATCAATATTCTTCTTTTTAGGGTCTGTGATTATTTGCCACAATTTCCACCGGTAGTATACACCACCAGGCGACCTCGGATCGAACAGCCAAGCCCACTTTTCGTCCATCTGAACTTCTGGCCGACTCATCAACAATGCCTCAAATCCAGGACCTTGTTTCACGAGTTTCTCAATGGTCATGTGTATCTGTCTTAACTGTCTTATATCTGTCGGTAGCTCCACCTGCACCTGAGTGGTTGGGCCATTTCTACCAACGCTTGGTCCATACGAGCTTGGGGGTGCGAACCCTCCGCGATGTGGCCCTGGTGGTGGAGCTCGACTCAAGCTTGTGCCCAAACTCAGCGGAATAGGCTTGGCGCCAAACGGAAGAGAAGTAGTAGTCGACGAGAGGCCGGAGGGCAAAGGCATGTTTGAATTGATTGCAATGGAGGAAAGATGTCGACAGAGGGTCAGGTAGTACCCCCAGCCAAGGTATTTGTTCTGCAGCGTGCTTACAGCTGCGTCGATAGTAGAAGCGGCCGAGTCGCTTGAGAGGGTAACGAGTGCAGAAGAGGACTCGCGGTGGGTTGGCAATTGTCCGGGTGGGGTGATGATCTTGACATTGTCCACGGTCAGGGTCGAGGGGATCAATGCCTTAATCACAGACAGAGATGTCCCGGGGGAAGCGATGCGAGGTATAGCGTGGGTTTTGGAGCTGCCCTCTCCTCCTCGTCAAGTGCTCTGTCGGTTTCAGATGGGGTAAGTACGTTTTCAAATTTGAGATGGTCACGACGGGAGGGGGGGAAAGTTTCGTGGGAACGTTTGTGTGAGAGTGACGGCGGCGAGGGCCCTAGAGATCCATGACCACTGCCGCGTGAAGAGGAAGTTGCGAAATGACGCCTGGGAGGACCACCACCCCTGCCTCTAAATGTATTGGATCCTCCATCCCATGACTGTGGTGCAACTGAATCCTCGTCTTCGAAAGATTTGACAAATTCTTCATAGACAGCAGCTGTCTCTGCTTTTTCCCGGGCGCGTTTGGCCTCTGCTTCGGCTTTTTGACGCTCAAAAAGTGATTTCTTTGGAAGCGCGGAGAGTTTCGCAGAGACGTCGGGGAAGCTCTTTCCCTTCGACTCGTCCGGCATGATGAGAATCAAGTGTAACTGCAAAGGAAGTAGCCAGCCTCAAATACAATTAGGATGAAGAGATTTGATAAAAATCATGAGAGACAGTAGTGCTGGAAGAGCTAGGAAAGTAAACCTCATAATCGCCGGATACCTTAGTTGCGCTATAGTAGGCGGTGGGGCTTTACCCAATCAGCGGGCACTATATACTTCAGCACGTGCACGGTAGTACTATTACTCAAGGGGTAGGCGGTGAATACCCTTAATTTAGTATTTATCGATAACATAACTATCTCACTGCCATGGCCCATCACATCCATAACTACAATCTCATATTTCAACAACCGCGTTATTGCTTAATTTCCATTCTCACTAATTGGTTGTTGATAAGGGATTCTACCCCTATATATCAAATTCAGGAAATTTGAAAGTTGAATTATTATGGTACTGAAAAATGTTGCTCAAAGCCAGAGATATGTACAGAGTACATCGGAGTTGAAGGGATGATATGGATGGGAAATATGGAATTCATTTTATGTATTCGCAACCTGAGTAATAAATTCCACGGGTGCTCGTCATTCAACTCATCACTCTTTCTCTTTTGAGTAGACTGGCCACACTACCCTTTCTATTTCATCCAGGATCCGGTACGTACTCTTTCTAGTTAGAGGCCACTAATACCGATCAACTTTATTGCACTCTCCTTTTGCTATCTTCCATCGCATTCGTTCAATTCACGCCATCGACAACACTCGATTACTAAGTTGCCAAGTAAGCCCTGAGTCGGCAACAGTAAGGTAAAATCCTAGGATGGTGATATCTGTGTCACATCGCCATGATGCTAACAAAGTAGCATGAGACCTAAAACATAACAAAACTATTCTTAATACCTATATGATTTCAATCGCTTCTTTCTCACTTCTTGCCCACTCACGAGTCACATCTTAGCACCTTCCAGACTCACACTACCTCGAGTGCCTAGATAACCTATTGCTACTAGTATAGATATATAAGTACCTGTCCCATCTATAAATACCGACTTTGTTGATTCTGCTCTCTGATTGCTCTTCTTTTCCCTCTCATCTACATCAAAAATACTGCTTAAGTCACAGTATATCATTCGACATGTTTTATTGTCTGTAGCTTGGCCAGTGTCACCAACCCTGTCGACAACTATGAGGAACGAAAAATATGCCTAAGCCAACTCCTGGACAGCGAGGGACTTTCGCCTGCAGCTGTGGTCAGCCCAGCGAGAATGATCGACCAGTTTCTAATGGAAATGAAGGGGGCTTCTAAGCTGTCCAAGAGAACTTCGGCACCCCTTCTCCTCCTTATCTTTTGCCACGGACTCTCAAACTTTCATTTGCTTTTGGATAATGGGAAATATGAAAAAGGGTCTATGCATCGTGAGGCTTAAGGTATGCTTAAGCCTGGCGTACGAGTCACCCTCATCACTACGGCATATCTCTCTGGTATCTCCTAAATTTCAATCACACTACCATGGCAGCCGACGCGGTATTCGTCGTTGTGGACCGGTTAAGCAAGAGACCCGTATCTATCCCATGCCATAAGGATACCAATGCGAAGCAAATGGCCCGTTTATTCATGGACAATGTCATACGAATCACTGGAATCCCCGAGACTATCGTCTCAGATCGAGGCGGTCAGTTTATCTCCGAATTCTGGACGGAATTCTGACGCATCCTAGGAATCAAACGAAAACTGTCCACTGCCTACCATCCGCAGACGGATGGCCAGAGTGAGATCGCGAATCATTGCGACGTCCCGCGAAATATGGAACACATGTGGAGTCTCCCAGAGTATCGGCCGCAGTTACGGCTCCGTTAAGCAATTGTCGACGGTGGTCTGGTAGATCCCGATGGTGAAATGCAGGTCCTACTTGAAGTTAGGGCTATGCATCTGTCATCGAGTTCGGTAAAAGAAGTCTTGATGCAACAGGGACTTGAAATGCTAGCATGGATTACTACAACGCTCGGTATTCAAGGGTCAAAGGAACCAAGAGTTCAAATAATCGACTCAGAAGGTAGGTTTGATGATGATCACTATACCAATGCTTAAGAAACATCGCTAATCAGTTGCCTATAGATGGGTGATGTTAGCACAATACGCTGCACAGATATATTTTATTATCGCTGAGTACCGGGATTGGAAGAAGAGTAAGGAGGATTAGATAGGAAATGAAAGATATATTCTTCTTAATATAGACTCCCAGACCTTGAAATCAAAGATATATAGTATCCCCCTGATTTGTGTGAGTAAGCCCTCTTTAGGAAACCCCATTGGCTAGTATACGTGCTTCCGCGGTCGAGGCAAGAAATGTATCGGCTCCTAGAGACTCCCGCAGATAATGTTGTCTGCGTATAAGTATTCGAGAACGAAATAGGAGAAGCCGGGCAAAATATCATAGCGAGAGCGAGGAAAGGAACTGAAACGCGAAGGCGTAGTAGGCTCCGTGGATCAAGCTGGCGAAGCTCAACGCGATGTGCTTCGTCGACTGGAAGACTAGAATAGTTGAATCTCACGAAAGTAGATACGGTGTGCTCGATATATAAATACTACGCGTAATATAGAGAAGAATATAACTAAGTAGAGAGCTGCTTTCACGTTCATTGTGGGAGATACGGTACTGACCGCGAGTTGTGCTGAGATGCACGGAGGATGATTTGCGGCGATGAGGCAGTGACAAAAATCCACAACTCCGAGGCTGTAAGCCCTGTGGAGTTTCCTCGGACACTTATATAGAGTCTGTCCAGCGTATTAAGCTCGCTTATTGACATCGGGGCAATAGCCCTGGATCTATATTGAATCGTCGCTCCAATTCTACAAATTGGGGCCTTTGGTGGACCAGTTCGAATATGTCATGGGATGTAGCGACGGATTCCCTGAGTCATGTTGATGTACCGGTCTGATAAGATGCGTCGGCTATTAGCCGATGGCATATTGACCTTATGGGGCCGAAAACCTTGTAGACCGATCAACCACCCATTGCATGTTCCTACATCCTTAAGCATTTGAATCAGGTTTGTTTCATTGGAATGTAGCTGATTTGTACTTTGCCTCCTCGCGATATGTTATGCAATTCTTGACGGGGAAATATGGTTGATGAAGGTTTGTATAGTATCTACGTAGGCTATCAATGATCATTCCATTAACTACACAGTATCGAATCAACATATGTCAATTTATGGAGTAAGTTTCTGGTATCTGCTGATACAGAAGGAGAACATGGGGAGTTCTTTGATGTCCCACATGACATGTGACCTGTATACCGAATTGTACGATATTATAGATCTAGATCAAGTCCTGGAGGCTTATGATCAGTCCAAGGAACCATCTCGTGTTCTCTGGGATGTTCTTACATGGGGACCAGACGGAAATAAAACCCGATCTCAGTATCAGATGGAGTCAGATGGAGTCAGATGGGCTTGGCCCTGGATGGATCCCGTTACGCACGCAATCTCGTTCCAGAGGGGCTGGACCGAAGAAGCCCTGAACGGCCCTGAAACCGTTGATCCATACGGTCATTGCTCGGGACATCTCTGTTGAGAGCGAATATCGTAACGTAACCTTTCTGGGTGGGAGTCTTCCATGGATGCGGTGTTTGATAATCTGCAAGTCCTAGGTAGAGCCAAGATACTCCAATCGACATTATCCGAGATCGAACACAGGTATTTACCTACGCCAACATCGTTACATTCAAATAGACCCTTGTTTTCGCTGCAACATCTGTCCATAGGAGACGTCCTAGGACTATCAGCTCATATCAAAGTCATGATGATGAGCAATTGTGCATTTCCCGGTTTACGATTATAGTTTGCAAGTCCGAGATATCCGCTCAGCCCTGATGTTTTAAACCTTCCGTATTCTGGAATTTTTCGCGAACCCAGACTGGAGGCCCTGAAGGTGCAGTTCTCCAGTTCAGTGGATTCCATTCCAGACCCAAACACACAAAGGGGTTTCTCACGTGGTTGCGTGGCGAGAAAGAAAACGTTTCAAATCCAACGCATGCAGAAGCAAACAACCTTAGAGCTTTGGTCTAGAACAGGGACCTGGAACCCTGTATTCTGTATTCTGTGTACTGGCAGATACTCGAGAATATCAAAATAGCACAATATACTAGCATGCAGGGTGGCGAAGCCCATTCAGGCCCACCGTAGACGGGAAGTGCTCGCTAGTTGGTCACCCTAGTCGTAGTAGCGCAAACAGAGGAGTCCCAGGCACGGAGTAGATCGTAGGATATGTGATACCAGGATACAAGAGAATGTTTGAGAAGAAAGAAAAGAAAAAGAAAGAGTCCATGGAAAAAAGCCCCAAGACGGTGCAAAATCAAAAAGCCAAGAATTTCAGTTGGCCCGAGAGTTGACTCTCCCCCGGCTCCCCTCAGTAAACTGGTCACACTAAAGTCTCAAACTCCTCCCTTCCCTTCCAAGGTTCCCCAATTTGAAGTTTCTCATCCTACATTCTATCTCGACCATCTATCAACATCCTCTTCCTCCTCAAAATCTCGAAAGAGTCTGCTATATCTGCTTGCTGCCGCCCACTCTTCGCCCATCCTCGCCCGGGTAGCGAAACGGATTGATCAAACAACGAGGTGGCCCGACAGGGCTGCCAGACCGATAGGGAAATGTCTGGTCATATTTCATCGGAGCATTCTCGCTCTATTTCACAATCCTCTCAAACGCCACAACTCTCCAGCGATTCGACACCTCGCCGCTCCTTCGGTCGCACCTCCACCTCCAATCCAAATGTCTTCGCCGACGAATACTCACTAGAAACCATTGACTCCGATCGCATCGAACGCCCCCATAGTCCCTCTTCCATTGCATCCTCCTCTACTCTTCGGGAAAACACCCAGCCAAGGGCTGTTAGCACGGCCCCGACCGAGAACGATAACCCGTTCGCTGATGACGCTCGGGTGTCCTTCGATGAACCTCATCGGTCAAGTCTGCCTCAAAAGGGGTATGCTTTCGCCAACAACCGTAACTCAACCTCCTCTCTCAACTCGACGCCTTCTATGATCCAGCGCAATCAGAGCGTTTCTTCTCGTTTCTCGATTCCCCGCGCTTTGAGCCCCTACACCGGAGCCACCGGACCCAGCCATCCATATGGTATGTATCCACAAGTTGGGGTTAGCCGGTCGCCCAGTGTAGGTAGTACTTCGACGATCCGCCCAATTGAACGCCCACTTGAAGGGTCAACCGGTCCGCAGCACCCCTACGCAATGTACTCGCAAAATGTGGTCGAAGAAGGAATGGATGACGATATCATCCCAGTCGGATTTCCAGGCCATAACCCACCATATCAACCACCCGCTGGTCGCCAGGCTGATGATGTGGGTGATATCATTGGACCGGATGGTCACGCAGAGCCGCTACCACCGTATTCACGCTATCCAACTGGTGTTATACCGAAGCCCCCAGGGCCTGAGACGGTAGTCGATCTCGATCCTCCGCCGGAGGAACACCGTCTCAACAATGAAAGTTCAAGAGCGGCGCCGATTTCAGAAACCTCATCAAGGGCTTTGGTGCTTGAACATTCTGGTGATGGGAACGATAATGGGCACGGGGAGGAAAGAGTCGCTGCGACCACAGGCATCATGGCCTTCGAAGAGAAGCTTAAACGCAAGGGGAAACAGACCGCATGCTGTGGCCTGCCAGTATGGACGTTGGTCCTCATTGCAACTGTTATGCTCATTGGAGGATGTATTGGAGGCGTCATTGGTGGTGTTCTGGGAACCAAGAAAGCCGCAGAAGCTGCAAAGCAAGAACACCAGGAGGCCCAACAATCCAGCCCTTTACCAATCATAACGATCACCGCAACCCCTCAGATGGATGCGTCGATGATATCCACCCCCACAGGTCTCAAGGGAGTCCCTACGGGCTACTACACGGTACCTTCCGGTTACCAGAATGGATCAGGGCTTTGCGTGGACGAATTGAATTACGGCAAAGCCTGGAAATGCATGCAACCACCGAGCACAATCGATATTTTTATCGGCGAATCCAATGGTCACCATTCCATCGTTTTCGACGACGGTGTTCCGACCCCGACCTTTACATATGGTGCCCAGGCGCCATATTGGTCTTCTTCGCCTACACAAGCATTGAGTATGGCCATTGATACCACTGATATTGGCATGGGTCCTGCTCTGTTCTTCCTTGCTCCCTTCGACAAGTTGGTCATTGTTCCGGACGATACATTCTCTAACTCCATTTCTAAGCGCACATTCGTGGAAGACGGGTGGGAAAATGCAAATGCCTACAAGAGTTTGAAGCAGACCGCAGAAATTGGCGACAAGCCGTGGTTCTGTTGGTGGAATAACACGATGATGGAGTTTTTCTTGTACGTCAACCAGTCGACGTCGAGTTCCTTGAGCACCACTGCTTCTATCAACAGCAACATGGCAGCAAGCACAGCTGGCTCCACTGCTGACGCTAAACGCGACTCCTCCGCCATCTACGCTTATCCACGCAGGATTAAGATGGAGGAGCGCCGAGACGACCCATCACGAGAATCTCCCTACTGTCAGCAAATGCAAATTCGCAATGACGGGGGTTTGGCGCTTCTCTCAGGCAGTATCATCAACGTCAAAGAGAACGAGCCCACGCCGACTACTACCTACACCAATTATAAAGGCGGCACTGCCCAGACATACACTGCCCAGGCATCTTACGCTAGCCCGTGTTACTGTGTGTCTCTGACTGATTAGCCGGACTCAACCTGAAACAATATCATTTATTCATTGTGGTCTCTCCTGCTGTGGACCTAGGCGTTGGCGTTGGATTGGCCAGCGAACTGGTCTCAAACTCATGTGCACATGATCGTATTTCTTCTTGACTGTGTGATTTTATCTTCCTTCCGTCCCCACAAGCTACTGGCCTTGTGGGATGCTTCGTTTCTTGCATCATCCGTTCCTATGCCCCCGCCATTTTTGCTGACTGTCATTGCGGCATGACATGACTCTGATCACTTTGCGGGTTATTCTTTCATATTTTTCTGGGTTATATTTGCTCTATCTGTTGATCGGCTCTTCTTACTGGATTTTAACTCAGGCGTTCATTGGATTGGTATGGTTCAGGTACTGCGATATGCTTGATCATATATCGTTCTCATTTACTATATTCGTAAGATGCTAGGTTGAATTTTACCTATCTTAGCATTAACGAAGAAGCAGTTCTATCATCATATCCATCATATTGCAGGATAGACAATATAGCTTGCTGCGTAGGATGATATAGCATAAATCATTGAAAACCCCTTGCTAACCTTGAAGAAATATTACATGCTCCTATATTGTAAATACATACATACTCGAATATCCTCGGGCTGTGTTCAGATTACTCTCCATAGCACCTGCTCTAGGTCTTGCTTCATTAGGGTACATTCACGGACCCGTGCAGCGGCAGGTGGACCCCAGAGTAGATGACTCAGCTATGCATCACGTGCAGGGGACATTGCACGTGACCATCTCCAAACACCAGCATGTAGGTGGGAGAAGGATGGGCAATGAACAGCAAGGGAAGCAAAAACCACACATTCATCAAGTTTTAAACAGGTTATAGCTTCAGCAACTCTTCCACACTTGAACGACGGCAAGGCGTACCTTGTATCGCACTTTGGTGCCTGATTGGGAGCTCCCACTCGACACCTGAGGCAGGCACACTTCCGACAACTCGCACCTTGCACCCCATTCCTCTCGCAACCTCTCCATCTCATCGTTCCCCCATCCATTCCTCTCCCACAGTGTTATCCTACTTTCCCGACACCCTCCCTCTCTCGATATCGCATGATCTCGCGTCTATTTTATTGATCTGCTTTATCGATTTCCCCCCGTTTATTGCGCCTGTGACTTAAAAATCTGTCTTTGGACCTCCAGATCAAATGATCGCGTCTCCTAGATGACCTTCCCTCCCCCTCACCCTTCCGCCCAATCGTCGATTGCTTCTGGCACCGATAAATCTTCTTCGACCAGGACCGATATTGGTGCCTGGGGTCGGTCCGTGTCGCAGTCCGGCGCACGTCGTGGGTTGACTCCACTCGCGACCAACATATCCTCCGCCGCTCCCCCCACGGCTTCCCGGGGCTTGGACGCAGGCCTTGGGGTTTCGACACCATCTTCTTTCTCTGCCGTGCTGAGCTCTGCTAGGGGTCTCTCCGGTGGAAGTCCCAAACACACGTCTTCGCCCTTCACATCATTGCAATCTGGCTCGCAACAGCACGCAACAACCCTTTCGTCCCCTAAATTCCGAGCTCACACCCCTTCTATAGGGTCCCATTTGGCCTCTGCTACAGGCTCCGCCCCGGGTGGAGGAGGAACTGGGGGAGGAGGTGGTGGGCCGGGATCTTCCCGAGGCGTCTTTTCGCCGCTCTCGTCCGGAACAACTGTGAATTCTCCCACAGGCTTCGCTTCTGACAAGCCGGGTTCCACAAACGCCCACTCGAGCCAATCGTCGCTCACCAAAATATCTATTGCCCAGGTGTTCTTGTTACTGGATTCTATTACGGAGAAGGAAGGAAAAGAGAAGTGGGAGACAAAGGCTGCTCAG